ACTTTGTGCTTCATTTTTTGAGGAACATCCAAACTATTTTCCCAAATGGCCATACCATTTTGCATTCTCTTCAGCAATTTGCCTACATCCTTCCCAACACTTGTTATTGTCTATCTTTTGAATTATAGCCATGGTAGTGGGTGTGAAATGATATCTCATTGTGGTTTTTATTTGCATCTGTTAAGCATCATCTTTAGAGATATGCCTGTTTGAATCTCTTGTCCATTTTTTAAAACATTTTAATTGGGGTAAAATATACGTAACAAACTTTCTAATTTTAAGTGTGCAATTCAGTGACATTAAATACATTCACAATCTTGTGCCAAAGCCGCCGCCACCACCACCACCACCACCACCACCATCCACCTCCAGACCTTTTTCATCCTCCCAAATTGAAACTTGGTACAAACTAAACAGTAACGCTTTACCCTTTCCTTCTCCCAGCCCCTGGCAAATGCCTTTCTGCTCTGTCTCTTTGAATTAGACTATTTTAGTACCTCATATAATGGAAGCATAAAATACTTGTCCATTTTGAGTTTGACTTATTTCACTTAGCCTGTATCTCTATTTAAGATTAATCCATGTTGCATCATGTGTAAAAATTTCCTTCTTTTTAAGGCTGAGTAGTATTCCATTGTACATGTATATACCACATTTTGTTTATCCATTCATCTGTTGGTGGACATTTGGGTAGTTTACATCTTTTGGTTATTGTGAATAATACTGCTGTGTCCATTGGGGACATGTATGTGCTCGAGTACCTGCCTTCAGATCTTTTGGATATCTACGTAGGAATGAAATTGCCAGATCGAGGAACTACTATACTGTTTTACACAGAGGCTGCACTATTTTTCATTCCCTTCAACAGTGCACAAGTGTTCCAATTTTTTAACATCCTTGCCAGCCAATACTTGTGGGGGTTTTTCCCCTTTTTTAAATAACAGCCAACCTAATATAGGTGGAATTCTATCTCTGTGGTTTTGATAAATATCCCTAATGATTAGTGGTGTTGAGCATCTTTCGATGTGCTTATTGGCCATCTTTGGAAAAATGTTTATTCATCTTTGGTGTCACAATATCTTTTATATCAGTACTGATTGATGTCTCCCAACCCCTGGCAAATGCCTTTCTGCTCTCTGTCTCTTTGAATTAGACTATTCTAGTACCTCATATGAATGTATCAGGAACCTTCAAAGTTCATAGTGACGAATAAACATTTTTTAGACTAATTTTTTGTGTTAAATTTTATCATTGGCCACAAATATTTGAGTTGTTTATCTTGAAGTGATAAACATTTATTTTTGAGAAAAGGACAATAATCAGTTGTTTGTTCTTGAGATGTCCATAGTATTTTGCTATGCAGAAGTGCTTTGTACTTCTCATTTTGTTACACAGAATATTAAAACGAAAACGATGTGTATTAAAAAGTTGATATTTAGCACTGACCGGTTTGGCTCAGTGGATAGAGCGTCGGCCTGCGGACTGAGGGGTCCCGGGTTTGATTCTGGTCAAGGGCATGTACCTTGGTTGCGGGCACATCCCCAGCAGGGGGTGTGTAGGAGGCAGCTGACCGATGTTTCTCTCTCATCGATGTTTCTAACTCTCTATCCCTCTCCCTTCCTCTCTGTAAAAAAATCAATAAAATATATTTTTAAAAAGTTGATATTTAACAAAATTAGTAATTTTTTGTTTATTAAACTTTCAGTGAAACAGGTTTACTGTGAAATTATTGTAGTGAAGATGATGATGACTACTAATAGTACAGTTTGGTACTGCTGCCTGATTTGTGGTGAAGTGTCATCATTTTTACCCACTGCTATTTTTGCATCAATAGCCCCCAAATCAACACAGAGACATTTTGTTACGTTAACAAATGGGGGTGAGGTGGGATTCTTTACTAGATTATATGAGCACTAGAGGCCCGGTGCATGAAATGTGTGCATGGGGTTTGGGGGTGTGCCTCAGCCCAGCCTGCACTCTCTCCAATATGGGACCCCTTGGGGGATGTCTGATTGCTGGTTTAGGCCCGATTCCTAATCTGGCGGTCAGACATCCCTCTCACAATCCGGGACTGCTGACTCCTAACCGCTCACCTGCCTGATTGCCCCTAACTGCTTCTGCCTGCCAGCCTAATCACCCCCTAACCGCTCCCCTGCTGGCCTGATCGCCCCCAACTGCCCTCCCCTACAGGCCTGGTCCCCCCCAACTGCCGTCCCCTGCCAGCCTGGTCGCCCCTAACTGCTCTCC